AAGATGGAGGTAGAACCATGTTAATTTACCATTTTCGCAGACACACTGGTGGCTGTGTTGGTCACCGACGGCAGTTTGGGACAGCTGAAAAATGGTTCAAATCTGATCATGATGCGATAGTTTATGGAGAGTTTATATAGGTTGTGCAGTGGTCGATGTGAGTTGTTTGGGCTAACCATGGTTGATATACTTTTTTGTTCAGCGGTCGATATACACAAGAACTGTTTTGCACCCTGAAACTGGATTTTTCGCGATCAGCAGAAATGCGCAGACCTGTGCTCCTTGGGGCTCCCATAGCTATGCCAAGAAACGGATAGGCTGACTCGACCCCCTAAAGAGGAGGGATTGGATGAAAAAACGAAGCCAATCACTGATTCTGCATGGTTCTATATCCACTAATAATTGCTAGTTAAATATGTATGTCAAGGATTGTCAAGGTATATACAGTACAGTACACACGTTAATATCTACTTACATACACATGTACGTATATTATTATTAATAATATATAATAAATATCATATATTACATATGTATCATAGATATTATAGATATATCATAGATATATTATAGATATATTATAGATATATCATAGATACATTATGGATGTCTTATCAGATATATTCATACAGCTTCATTAAATACATCTTTACATCGAATTCTTCGTTGTACCCTATCTTCGTCAACCGGCGCCTCGCTGGGGTATAGTGTCATCGCTGGCGGTCTCATGGTCCTGGTGCAGGGCCAAAGTCGGTTTCTGTTAATGGTTGAACCATTAGAATTATTACCATCTGGTTATTTAACATAGCCATGGAAAATCCCTTATAAATGGAGGGTTTAATGGGAAAGTCATCTATAAATGGGCCATTCTTCATGGCTATGTTAAATAACCAGAGGGTATATCTGGTTGGTGGTATACCTACCCCTCTGAAAAATGATGGAGTTCGTCAGTTGGGATCATCATTCCCAATATATGGAAACATAAAATTCATGTTCCAAACCACCTACCAGATTATTATATGGTAAATATACTGATTAGTATAGTAATGGTAAATGATTAGTATAATTTAACTAAACATTTATTGAACCATCAATCTGAACTAATTTCATTATAGTAAATCATTATAATTAGTAAATGGTAAATAGACTGGTGAGTATATCATTATCACTATACATGGTATAACAATTATAATGATATACCTTTAGTTGGTTCGTATATCATGATCATTTCATGGTTGGTATATCTATTATAGTAAACTATTACAATAGATGCAATAGATACAATCAGATCATTATACAAAACCAGTACTAACATTACTATATAATTGTAATATAATATAATATAATAATACACTATAAGACTGCTTTATTAGTGAACTACATGTATCCATTGATATTCGTCATGGACATATGTTTATATATCGTTGCATCCTTACGTATCTATATAGCTGCAGCTGGATGGGTGAACGTAAACCTCAAAAAAAATGGAGGTACTCTCCGCATCCCTCTATAAAAAGTATGCAGATCCCTATCCTTTGGTGAACTTTCCCACTTTTTATTTGCAATGTGGTTCTATCCCATGGATGGAAATTGGAGCTGGTAGGCTGGGGCCAATGATCCCCGGAGATCCCCGGGATGGACGGCTGGGTGGATCAACATCCCAAATTTTGAAGTGATGACCATCCCGCAGCTGGGCAGAAGAATCCAACAGGATTTCTGTGGCAAAAAAACATGCCACAACTACCATGGTTGGATGGTCTTTTTATTAACACATTTTTACACATTTAGATGACTTGGGGATGGTGTCCCACCATGTTAAAACATTGGGTGAAAACCCTCGTGATGAATCAATTCACCCAGGTGGACCAACGGAGCAGCATCCTCCAGCTTCAGAGGACCACTTTTTCGACCATTAGCCTAACAGCTTCAAAACGTTCAAAGCTGGTTGGGAGAGCAATGGAGTCTCAAAATTGCTTTCAACACTTGCCTTCAAACATTTCGGAGATGGGAGATCTTGGGAGGGTCCCCAAAAACTGAGAGTGATATTTTCCAAGCTCCCCAAAAATGATATCAGTGGCAGAAGCCATGCACCTTTTAACTGCATCCACCGGAACGCGAAAGACGTGGTGTTTCCAGGGCGCCTTTTTCCTTCATGATGGGCAACTCCAGAAATTCGAGCCGTGCGGCAGGCGGTGGGGATGGAACCACAGTGGTTTTGCCCAAGCCATCCTTGGGAAAAGACTTGCGAGCAAAACATCTAGCTGGTGCAAATAATAACTCCAATTTCACTATGGTTTATGGTACTTATATAACATCAAATAACTATAGTATTCATGGGGGTTTATAAACCAACCAACAAACATCACTGGAAAAACCCACATTGCCAGGAACTTCAATCGTCTTCGATGGAACCGAATGGACCCCCAGAAATGGATACCACGGAGCCGGATGATCATTGGATTGGTTTTGTTGGGAAAATCTACACCGGAAACCCATGGGTTTTTTCATGTTTTTTCCATCAAATTTGATGGGGCTTTCCGGTAAAAAAAAATCCCATCATCCAATTCTATGAGATTGACAGGCCGACGCGGTTCTGAAATGACAAGGGGACACGTCTGTCACGGTTTTCGAGACAAGTTTATGCAGTTGACGGGATTTCTGTCTCACTAGTACCCTCTGGTAAACTAACATCAGATATGGAAAATCACCATTTTCAGTGGGTAAATCAACTATAAATGACCATTTTCAATAGCTATGTTTGTTTACCAGAGGGTAGGTGGAAAGCCAGCAAATCTTCCCACAGAAGCATATGAACTGTCAAACATGCTGGCATGATGAGATTTTTTTTTGGCGCCGCTGGTTATGGAGGAACCGACTCCCGCATCAAGTTTTTGGCTGATTTGTGGCAACGCATTGAGCCAACAATGGGAATATGTTCCACATATTTTCAACATCTCAACAAACATATCTTCCCTTAACCATGGTAGCAGCATGCTGGGTCTGAGTGCCAACTGGGTAGCCACAGGATCTGTTACATTACCTCACACCAGCCCAGCCCTGAGGACCTGTACTGGTCAGCAGTCCTGGTGGGTTAGCGATGCCCAACATGAGTATAGTTCAGTGGGATATAGATGTTCCTAAAAGGGAAGTCATTCCCCAACATCTCACAATAAGCAGATTTCCAGCAAGGTGTTTGTTTTTCTGAAATCATCCCTTTCATTTGCTTTTTGGCGGTGATTTTCATGCATCTGATCTTGCCTCCAAAGCTTCACCAACTGCCTTGACTTGGCCCTTGGACCCTGCTCCTTGTAACCTACAGCAGCTATAAGGCGAACTGAAAGGGCAAAGTCGAGCATTCATGGAGTGTATGTTGGCAACCTACAGCAGTTGATTGCAGCCCTGTTGGCTATAAGGAGCAGGGCTAGGGCAAGTCGAGGCATCAGGGGGGTGTATGTGATGCATCAGCAGGCTGTATGTTGGCAACCTACAGCAGTTGATTGCAGCCCTGTTGGCTATAAGGAACAGGGATAGGGCAAGTCGAGGCATCAGGGGGGTGTATGTGATGCATCAGCAGGCTGTATGTTGGCAACCTACAGCAGTTGATTGCAGCCCTGTTGGCTATAAGGAGCAGGGCTAGGGCAAGTCGAGGCATCAGGGGAGGTGTATGTGATGCATCAGCAGGCTGTATGTTGGCAACCTACAGCAGTTGATTGCAGCTCTGTTGGCTATAAGGAGCAGGTCGTGGGCCGAGTTAAGGCATCAGGGGGCTGTATGTTGGCAACCTACAGTACCTGGAAGTTTCAAGGTTCAAAATGATGATCCACAGATATGGATTCTGCTCGCTCATTAATTGCTTCCCATCTTTGGTGCAGTGGGATAAAACAACCATTCATTTCTGGGAGCAGTTTTCAACCCTCCCCAAAATATGCTGATGAATTGGCCAAATAGAGAATGTCAAAAACTGCACCCAAACAGCGCCTCACGTTTCGATCTTCCAACAGCATTTTCTGTGTCGCGAATGATCAACAGCTTTCACTTTGGACTCTGGACGGTTTTTCTTTAAGCCAAGTCACTACGACCCCTGCCCGGCACAGATCAGATCACCCCAGGCGAAAAAGAAAGACGGGTCTCGTATTTCACGTCATGATTTATTTGAATCTACATGGATGTGGGTCAAAATAGAAGACCTAGGGGACCACAGATGTTAGTCTAGTGTAGTATTAACCATCCAATTATTGGGGTACTTAATTTTGACCCATACCCACATTGGCATTGTAAACTTTGTAAACATGAAAACCTGAGATGTTGGCCATCATCCGGCTTTGTCCATATGTCAAACCAGAGTTCTTGCCGCCTTGCCCATTTTGTGTGGAAAATCAACCGATCAACCGATCAAGCATCAAAATTTGGGAGGATTTCACAACCTTTTCAGATCCACATCCCCATCCATCTAGATAAACTATATGGATGATCAAGAACTATTCAATATTCTTCACCAACCTGAAAAAGTTCGGCCTTTTTGGGGGACAATTCCCCCAAAGCTAAACCTTCCAGTGACGTCGCGACGTGAGGTGACCAAATTTATCCAGAGATTCTCCAAATTTTATATTCGTTTTATCCCATTACTATTCCATTCACATCCCAAATCCACTTATATTTCAAATTAATGGAGGTTTCCTAAGTCATGGGGGTACCCCTAGTCATCATCCATGAAAATTGGATTTCCATGAAATAGTCACCATCCAGCGAGCTTGGAGATCCCCCATGATGGATTGGAAACCCCCATATACCCGGCCTGGTAAACGTGACCACATAACGAACTGGAAAGATCCACCATGCGAAAAGTAGCTGGGTAAATCAACTATTTCCACTGGGCCATTTTCCAGTTTGCAAACTGTGAATGTTTTCCAGAGGGTAATACCATCACCAATCCCATGAAATCCCATTGAATCACCATTGAATCCCATTAAAACACCATGTATCTGTATACCAAATCACAGTTAAATCCCTGCACAATCCCAGGTTTTTTGCCACCGCCGTATGGTCAAACCCTGGCCATGGGTCCTCTCTGGCATGGTGCGTGCACTCTTCAGGGCCCGTGCCGAGTTTAAAGCGCTGCCCGCCACGACGTCACCTGAGTGGAAGCTCTTTGTGGGGACAAGATCTGGGGGGAAATACATCGTCAACACATGGGGATTTACCTATCATCAATGGGAATTCAAGGATCCTAAATTGGAGGTACCTACCATATAATCCATATATAAGGCCTATCTTTGAGGCCTATGTAAGGGAATAAGGGAATATCCCCACAATTCATATGGCCAAACATATGGTACGTTTACGTACCTCCATTTTAGGATCCTGAAATTCCCATTGATATAAAGCTTGTGGATTTAGATTGATTTAGCTACGCAATTGGGATATCACATGATCTCACCATCAATGGATCGATTTGAGGGAAAACCTACAGGAAACGATGTTTTTAATCATCAAATGTAGGGGTTTCCTGTAAATGTTCCCTTCAACTCTTCAACCAATTCTGCATGTCTTTGTGACGGGGACAAATATCCCAAATATCCGGTGACACTGGGACAGAAGAAAGGATGGTCAACCATTCCATCCATTTTAGGAATAAGTATATGAGGGGGTAACCCTCTGGTAATTCAACAGTGTGCTATGGAAAAGAACTATTTTTCATAGGTAAACCATCGAACTAAATGAGCCATCTTCTAGCGCAAAGTGTCAAATTGCCAGTTGGGTAGTTGGGGAGATTTATGTACAAAAACTGGTTGGTGGTATAGTTTCAACCCCTCTGAAAAATGATGGAGTTCGTCAGTTGATATGATGAAATTCCCAACTGAATGGACAAGTCATTTCTAATTCCATGGTTCCAAAGCACCAAGCAGTAGTTTAGTTATGTTTATAAACCATGAAATAATCCCCATTCACTAGTTCGTTATATCTACCATAAACCATAGAATTCATCCACATTTCCATAGCCTAGTCATGGGTTAATCAGTATATTCTCCAATGGGTTTATCCCCAATCCCTATGATCCACTCAGAATCCATGAAGGTTCGCATTTATTGACTGTCCAAAGCCGGAAACATCAAAGATGGCAAGAAAATCCCACCGTTTAATGGTGATTCAATGGTGAGTTAATGGGATTTAATGGTGTTTTAATGGGATTTAATGGTGATTCAATGGTGATTTAATGGGATTTAATGGTGTTTTAATGGGATTCAATGGTGATTCAATGGTGATTTAATGGGATTTAATGGTGTTTAATGGGATATATGATGGGATTAAGCCTCTGGTAATGACTGTTACACTTCGCGACATTGAACATGGCCCATAGAAATAGTGGATTTACCCAGCTACATAGCATGGTGGATCTTTCCATAGTTATGTGGCTGTTTACCAGGCCGGGTATGTTGGCAAATGAATGGATGATTTTCACCAGAAACTTCCATTTGCCTTGGAGATTTCCCCATCGGTCTCCCCATTAATCTTTCTAGCAGATTTTCCCGTATTAAAAGGGGATTTTCCAGCCACGCCAACTCCCACCTGGCGGACTTTCCATTGGCTCCTCCTGAAAAAAAACCACATGAACACCTTTGCCTTTGATCAATATGGAAATCCTCCTCCATTTTGTGACTGACCTACCCTCTGGTTATGAAAAACATTGGTATAGATGGTCCGTTCGGTTTGATCATGAAATATGATGATGATTTACCTATTACCCGGCCTGGCAAACGTTTACAGTTTGCGAACTGGAAAATCACCATCTTTAATAGGTAAACCGTAAACCAACTATTTCGATTAGGGCCATTTTCAATAGCTAAGTGATTTTCACCTGGCCACAGGCAAATATCTCCAACCATTTCAAGGTGATGCTCAAAATCCTACCCGGCCTGGTAAAACTAACAGTTTGCTATGGAAAATTACCATGCTATTAATGGGTAAATCAACTATAAATGGCCCATGTTCAATAGCTATGTTAAATTACCAGAGGGTAAATGGGACATTTACTGTTTCGTTGATCAGCCATTGGTTTGTCTATCCGATATTTTCTTAATTGTGAAAACCGAAACAACATTGTGCTTATTTCATCACATTTTCCAGCTGAAATTTGTAACCATTTTTTTGCATCCCATATTTGCCACACCAAAAACATCCATCATTCAGTGGTTAAATCACTATCTGGTTGGTGTTATACCAACCCCTCTGAAAAATATGAAAGTCAGTTGGGATGATTATTCCCAATATATAGAAATTCAAAAAAGTCCATATATTAACCATGTATTTCCATATATTAACCATATATTTATGATTAACCAATATTAACAATGTTCCAAACCACCAACCAGCTATGTTTGAAGCGACTCCATACCCATGTTGGCTGGCTAACTCCCATGGCTCCTCGTGGGCATCTGCCCTGTGTTCCTCATATTCGCTGGGCACGTGGGCTTCTGACCTGGGCTGAAGGGACCTTGCGTGTTGCAGTTGTAGTTGGAGTATATAACTCATTTATCTATATTTATGTATGTATGCATGTATGTATGCATGTAAGTAAGTATGTATGCATGTATGTATGTAAGTAAGTATGTATGCATGTATGTAGGTACGTACGTATATGTATATGTATCTGTATATTTATATATATATGTATATATATATACACATGATGCATATGTATACACATCGGGAACTCATGGGAATTGCGCCCCCAGGCAGACGTGAACGTTGGTGACCCAGCTAGATATACCCATTTATGGTTGGGATTTTCCATGGCTATGTTAGTCATAACCAGATGGTAAACATAAGTATCACAGACACTTATCACTATTGTTATAACATAGTTATGTTCACTAACTGAACGCTAACTGGAACTGAACTCACTTGTCTCAGTGGCCAGTGGTGCCCCATTGCTGGCCAGTCCTGCCGGGAACACTGGGGACAAAGTGAGTAGATATCCAAAAGAATGGGATGTTACTTGGTACTGACAGTTGAAATCAGTTGAACATGTTATCCAACATCTTGGATCAAATTGATTACCCTCTGGTAAACTAACATAGCTATTGGAAATCACCATTTTTAATGGGAAAATTCACTATAAATGGCCATTTTCAATAGCAACGTTAAATTACCAGAGGGTAAATTGATGAAGTTGAAATGGGTACCTAAGAATAAAAAAGAACGAACTGGGAGGATTACGACTGGATATGATTAACACCATCCAACATCCGTGAGTACGCGTTGTTGATTGGAGTTGTTGCTATTTTGGCCCTTCTGTTCATCATAAATCCCTTGACTTTGAATGTGTTCTTAGAAGCCAACTCAATTCTGAAACCACGCGCCAATTTGCGGTGCCAATTTCCACGAAAATCCACAAGAAATTGGAAGAATTATCTGAGTCATAGGGAAAGAAAGAACATCCAGGGTAAAGCTTGGAGGCAATATATGTGTTCGTCTGAGAATAGGGTACGCGACAGTCCGATGGTTTTTCGTGATTGACTAGAATATCTAGAACAGCCTTCGTATTGGCATTCAGCAATTTTCAAATAAACGGATACAGTATATGTTTCCTGATGAACCAACAAAGTCATTCTATTCAAAGAATCAGAGCAACCCATGTAGCAACGGGAACTCTCTGCAGTGCCCCAGAATTTCGATCATGCAGGGGAAACATGGCCGCTTCATGTGATGTCGACCCTGGATTTCTGAAGCTCTGGGCTGTTTACCCTCTGGTAAACTAACATAACTATGGAAAATCACCATTTTTAATGGGAAATTCCACTATAAATAGCCATTTTCAATAGCTATGTTAAATTACCAGAGGGTATCATTTTAAGAATCACGGTTTGGGTCCCACCTAGTTCAACCGCCCAGGGGTTTATGAATCCCGGGTTGACATTGACATCCATCCAGGTACAAACATTCACTGGTTGGCAATCTATCATGTTTACCCTCTGGTAAACTAACATAGCTATTGATTTAATGGGATTTAATGGGATTTATTAGGATATATGATGGGATTAAGCCTCTGGTAAACGTTTACATTTTGCTATGGAAGCCATGGCCCATAGCATTAATAGCATGGTGATTTTCCAGAAAGCGAACTGTTTTCCATTACCAGAGGGTAGATCCACTGCGGGGATCCAATATGATCCAATCTGATGATACCCCATGGTCTGACAGACACGATAGCCCCATCACTGGTAGATTCTGATGATACCCCCATTGTACCCAAATTCTTCGTCGCACATGGCTGTACGAAACTTGAGATTTATGGCCTAAGAATACATTATTTACCACTTGTGGGTAAATCATGGAAATCATTCTACGCATCTGGTTGGTGGTATAGTTTCTACCCCTCTGAAAAATGATGGACTTCGTCAGTTGGGATGATTATTCCATTCCCAACTGAATGGAAAAGTCATTTCTAATTCCATGGTTCCAGTCAGCACCAAGCAGATACGCATTGCACCAATATCTACCCTCTGGTAATTTAACATAGCTATTGAAAATGGTTCATTTATAGTGATTTTTCCCATTAAAAATGGTGATTTTCCATAGGTGCGTTAGTTTACCAGAGGGTACCAATTCTATTGCTGACATCACCGGACCTCGTCAGAGGAAGCATGCGAGATTTCATCACCTCGGCAGACAAAGTTCGTTGGATCGGGATTGGGAAAAATCTGCAGGACACTGGCTTGTTTTCCCATGAAATGGGTATGGGTCAAAACCTACTAATCATGTGGTATAAGGGATGACCATCAACCTTGAGGTTCACCAGGGGTACAAGGTTTTGACCCACATCCAAATGAACCAACACTGTACCCTCTGGTAATTTAAAAATGGCCATTTATAGTGGATTTACCCATTGAACATGGTGATTTTCCATAGCTATGTTAAATTACCAGAGGGTATCATTTTTTCAACAGCTTGGGTTGTTTTATACGCTTATATGGACAAAAACACCACTGGGTGTGTAACGCTTCCAATATTTCACCAACTTCATGGCCCATCTAAATCATCTAAACCGACAGCAGTTTCGCCAAAGATCATCCCTGATTTGATCAGAGAAAATAACGAAACTTCCCGAAATTGGACATCATATTGACCAGCTTGGACATCATATTGACCAGCTTGGACATCATATTGATGGGATTTGATTATATTGACATTATATTGGGAGTGTCCTAGCTCTCGACAGCTGACAGCTGAAGGAAACCATCCACTCACTCACCATCTGCCGATGAAAAATGTCAAGCTTTCTGGACATGATTGTCAAAGAGCATCAAAGAGCTATGTTTTTCGTTTCTAAGCCGTTATTCATTCAATATCATGGGAAAAAATGTGACAATCCCCAAATATCCATGAGACAAATAGCCCTGGGGCATGGAGTCCCCAAGACACCCTTCAAACCCGCGCCAAGTTGATCCCGGGATCAGATGATGTCCATCTTGACATTGCCAAAAAAAAAGGAGTCGGAGTACCCTCTGGTAAACTAACAGTTTGCTATGGAAAATCACCATTTTTCATGGGAAAATCCACTATAAATGGCCATTTTCAATAGCTATGTTAAATTACCAGAGGGTAATGATCCCAATCAGGAATTGCAACGCAATCAAGATTTCGAATCACTGAGCAGCTTGTTTTCAAGTTCAGGGCCATTTTCAGCGTGCCAACAATCAACCATGACGTGCAATGCGTTCACTGACTTTGGAATATGCCTTTTTTTTGCCATACATAAGTGTGTGACTTTCCGCGATTCTGCCTGAAATATCAGGTTCACATATCCCATTATGTATATATACCACTATCTATCTATCTATCTACCTACCTATCTAGCTACAGTACCTACCTATCTAATCCTGTCTAATCTAATCTAATCTTTCTATCCTATCCTATCCTATCCTATCTACTTATCTTATCTTATCTTATCTTATATATCTTATCTATCCTATCCATCCTATCCATCCTATCCATACTATCCATCCTATCCATCCTATCTATCCTATCTACCTATCTATCCTATCAATCAAATCTTTCAAATCTATGAAATCTATCTAATCTATCTAATCTGATCTATCTGATCTACCTATCTAATCTATCTGATCTATCTGATCTATCTGATCTATCAAATCTATCAAATCTATCTAATATATCCTATCCTATCCTATTTATGTATCCATCTATCTGTATATACATATACATATATATATATATATACACATCAGGACTATAACCATGGTTAGGCACCCATGCACCCCTGCCCTTTGACAGCTAAGTGCAGCTGAGCGCACTCATCTCTCCATGCTCCTGAGCGCCATCATCGACGATGCGGATGCAACTGCTGGTGGTTGAATGGGGTGGTTGATGCAATGGCTAATCATGGTTAGTAATGGTTAAATAATGGTTAAATAATGGTTAAATAATGGTTAAATAATGGTTAAATAATGGTTAAATAATGGTTAATAGTGGTTTATAATGAATGGTTAATAGTGGTTTATAATGAATGGTTAATAGTGAATGGTTAATCATATGATGATTTGATAGGAGGTATATAACGAGTTGGTGGTATAGTTTCAACCCCTCTGAAAAATATGAGTTCGTCAGTTGGGATGATGACATTCCCAATATATGGGAAAATAAAAAACGTTCCAAACCACCAATCAGATAATGGTTTAATCCAATCTACTAATGGTTTAATATTGGTTTAATGGGGTTGAACCAACCAAACATGCTGATTGAATGGGATATCAATGAACATATCTCAGGGTTTATAACTCACCAGCTATAACTAAAAATCTTCCCCGTTCATATTCCACGTCCGCCAGAAATCATGGTGGATGTAGGGGATGAAACCACATATTTGAGACCATACAATGGGTGTGTTTAAGACTATATAGTGGGATGGGATTATTACCGTTGGTAAACCGCACCAAAACGCACTTTTTGCAGGCCAACATATATGTCTTTATGTTAAAAACGAATCAAAACTTCAAGGTGTGTAGCAAAAAAATGTGGAATCAGCGATTTCCATTACTCCCTGGCAAAATATATACATGGATATAAATTATATACATATACATGTATATATATACATGTATTGGACATGACACATTTGCTCGGCTCGCACTGCTCGGATCGCTTGCAACACACCGTCGCCGAAAAAACATCGGTAGCGTCCTCGTGATGGCTGTGCCTGGAGCAGGTTTGGTCAGCGTTGTTTCCACGACAGGCGAGTCATGAAACAAACAGTTTGCTATTGAAAATGGCCATAGAAATAGTGGATTTACCCATTGAACATGGTGATTTTCCATAGTTATGTGGCTGTTTACCAGAGGGTAATCATCCAGAGTTTTGATTGCGGAAACATGGCCTGTGAAATTCTGGAAGCAGAGCTAGGCATGGAAACAGGTGGCTTCACATTTTCGCTAGCTGCTTCCTGTTCGCCATCTGATGCGTACACTCATCCATACTGACCAGAACTGGGGCTCTTATTTCTACTCCAAAGGACAAGCCAGGCATACTCGTCTTTTTGGCCATCCGGATCTTTCTTCCAGTGCTGCAGAGTATCCTGCGGCCATGACTAAGAATTAGGAGGCCAAAATCTAAGAGCCGAAGACATGCAGAAGGTTGAATACACACAGAATTGACTAATGGAATGTTAAAAAAGGATAATATATATAATATGTATATATATATAATATACACAATGTACAATCATATGTATATATATATATATGTATGTATGTATAAACTGCTGGCTCTTCAATACTCCAGATATCAGTCGTAACCTTAACGAGTCACTTAACGAGGTTTGGAATCTTTGTGGAAGTGTCCTGATGTAACTAGTTTCTGGATTCAGCCCGTGCAAAAAATGCTAGTCAAAACCATTCAGTTTTTTTTTCAGAAAGAACAATAAACATCAATAAACACCGATGCGTTGACGCCCAATTTTGACCCAAACTTATGTATGACACCAGCAAGCAACCAAGAGAGACCAGCTGCAACCACCTTAAAACCGTTTCGGCTGCTTGGCACTATGATCCCAGTATAGGGATAATGTCGCAATATTAGATGATATTAGACTTACTGGTGCTTAGCAGGGAATTTTCGGGAATGATCCAGAATCACTAGTAATAATCATCCCAGCAACCCCCATTCCTATCCATTCCCTACGTAAAACGCACCAGTAAGTAGATGCCTCGAGACAGTCATCACAAGAGCAAAAAATAGACCCAGTCACCTACAGTGCACCAGTCGATCTTCCACTTTCATCAAGATCAGCCCGTTCACCGAGCGGCTAAGGGCAGAAAGAAGAGCTGACACTTTGGACCTTGCGTGAGCTGAGTCTGTTGGTGCCTGGTCTTTTTTTTTTGGTGCCTCTATGGTTGATGCATAGATCATACAATGTGGGGCCCCCCAGTTAAAGTTGGTTTATAAACCCCCATAACTATGGTTATAAGTACCATAAATCATAGTTATTGCAACTTAGCTATCTTGGGGGCCCCACATTGTAGTAGCTTTTAGTTTGTAGGTCAGATCCTGCACCCAACAATGGAGACTCATGGTTGATACACAACGGAATCCAATGAGTTTTCCTTGCCAAGAACTATCAGTACATCCTCAGGATCCTCTGGTATTCCAACGGAAAATATTCGGAAGGCCAGTAATACCCAGCCGGGTGCTGCTGCTACTAATTACAGTATGCCCATGACAGTCACTTATTCATATCTACATTTTCCCATGGTCATTTCCCAGACATTCAGCTGGTCACCTGGTCGGGTCGGATTTTTGCAATCGACGAAGATTTTTTGGACTTTCCGCAACACGGATCCACATTAAGAGATGGTTTCTTCAACGATTCGACCGGCAACCCCAGGGGCAATCAAACAAGGGCTATTGAATCAGCAAGTTTCTCCACAATCATACAGTGTGGCTGCAAATGGCTGCAGCACATTGCAACCCTTGTACAATGCTGGGCAACGAGTCAAGCTACGCAACAAGGAACTCAGTAGGGTCATCGAGATCTTGTTCTTTGCAGCCGGATGAATGTTGCCAAAGCTCGCACGTTCACCAAACCGGATGTGACCAAACTGATTGTGACTTCAAAATGGTGTATCAAGGGATACGCAAATTTCTTCATGTCTAGTACCATGAGGGTTCAATAATTTTGAACCTCCCAGTCCCACCAGGCCACCCTTGTCTACTGGAGGCTTTTCGATGGGTTTCTTTCGAACTTTGGTCTTGGCCGCTGCCTAGCTGTGACCAGCCAAGGGAACTCTGGAAAAAAATGATGGGCCCGGCAACATACGAAGAGATATGAAGGTAACAAGAAACCCTCTCTCTGTCACAGCTATAGGCAGGTATAACACCAGCTATCGATCGTCAGAACATGTCAGAACCCCATCTATCACTTGTGCGACATGACATGGGCCAACAAGAAGTAGCACCCATGATTCATCCCATGGAGAGGACACGAAGCACCAATCCGTTGGCGGCTTCATGGCTTGTGACGTGGATCTGTTTTTCCAAAGTCATCGAAAAAGCCGACAACCCATGCCATCCTTAGGCTTATCATTTTCCTTATCAAAATGGTATACATACATGTATATATATATATATTATACAGTAATATACAGTATATATAAATTGAAACTGCGGTACATCTGCAATTTTCAGACACCCTCACGTTAATGCCCCCTACCAAAACTGCTTGGAAACTACGCTGGGCGAGATTGGCATCAGATCTCCAAACATTCTACACTGCTAGTCACTGCTAGTCATTTCACCATAGCAGGTTTTCACACCCACAAAAGCTCACAGCATGAAAGATCATGGTCCTCACCTTAAAAAATGGTTGTCGAAACCATCAACCAGAACTGTTTGGTCAGAATCCTTTGGTGAAGAGAATCCTTTGTTTCTCAGACATTTCGGCGCACATTGAACTCTTTGGTTCATCCTCAAAGGACGGCGTTTTTGCTTCTGCTGCCTTGGACGACTGCTTCGTAGATCTCCCTGCAGTGATCTGAGCCCCAAATGCCTTTGGATCGACGGATCCTCGTCGGCCTTGTTGCCATGTTGCCATGGGTGACTTCTCCGGCCAAGGGGGATGACTTCGTCCCAAGTTTCAGGACATGGACTGGTTCCCTTCCCAATAGCTGGAGGTGAATGGTGAATGAGGTCGGAGAGCAGTTGTAGTCTGGTCAAGCACCACCTTGACCTTTGCGTCTCAACTGCTGGACTAGGTGCATAGGCTGTTCCTCACCAGAACATGACCAGAGATGACCACCCTAGGGTGGCCGTGGCATTGAATAGACATCTTGATATCTGCCAGGAGTTTCCCAAGCATCCCCCCCATCAGGTGACGGCCGAAACGGCCATTTTTTTAATCGATCCATTTCGGTCACCTGGTTGACGACCTTTTGTCGTTCCACAGTTCATCGTCCCCATCAAAATGGCCATACATGAGGAAAAAAAAACTCCATTGGATCAATGTTTTGGATCAAAAAAAATCAACCACCCATGACTGGAAATGGTTGAAATCCAAAAATATATACCAGCTATAAACATGGTGAAATTGGGGATGGTTTATTGTCGTTTTACCAACATGATGGAAATCCTGTATCGAAACAGCAGGCCGAGAGGTATCACTTCGCACCTTACCCTTGGGTTTCTTGGCATTCTTGGCGCCATCCTTGGGACTTTCTGCCTGGGCAGAGGGGCCAAATTATCCTCCAGTGTCATCAAACGTGGCTGGAAACTTATCTGTAAACAGTGGATTTTCCATTGCCCCGTCTGATCCAGAGACATGCTGCTATATTTTCAGATATAGTTGACCTTACAGACGTGTGTTTGCTCATTACTAGTTACAAGACACATATTTTTACAGATTGCCCTCACAACTGATTAGCACCCTACCATCGCCTGTTTTTATCCCACTGTTTCGTGCTTGGATGTCTGGTGTTCGATGGACACGAAATCATCACCCCCGAAAAAAATCGAAGAGATGAACTTGACCATTATCTTAAGATATTGTAGGTAGGATTCTACGAACTCCTATTGTTTTATATTGTTTTGGGGTGGCTATATATATATAATATCTACCTAAAGAAATGTTGGGCCATATCCAAAACTTGAGCCCCGAATGTGGGCCACCTCCTTGTCACCTTCAGCTTCTGCATCTGAAGCCTCCGGGCTACCTGCATGGACGATGTCTCGGTTTCTGTTGAGGATTTGATGGGGATTTAACCATGAAACTATGGGATAAACCATGAAACCATGAGATAATATAATAAACTATGGGACAATATATAGGGATAATAATGTTTTTCTATATTATTTATAAACCATGGGATAATATAATATAAGGCTTGATGGGATATCCCTCCGTACACCATCAAACATGGCTAGCGGCTAGCTGGACAATGCCCCCGAAAATGGAGGTTTAAGTGGACAAAAATCCAGCAAGCCATGTTTGAGTACCGGAGGCTGGTTGGTAAGCCTTGATTTATGCAAAAAACCAGCTAAAATTGGAGATAGTTGGAATATCATAGACTTCAATAACCTTAAAAAAACCCTCATCAGTCAGAGATTCTACTTGTACCAGTAGCCATCCAGTTGACTCAGACATGTGGATCTTATCAGCCAGGAAGACACTGGACTCCGCTCCCTCCATCTTAACCCATCTGACATGGTGCAAATTGGTCAAGGTCCCATGCTCCGTCCGCGCAGGTGTATCTCCCAGATATCTAGGTGCTGATGTTGGATTTGGACCTCCATCTGACCCCTTTTTCCAGCACGGCTTTTCATGGCTTTTCTGTATTGCCCAGTTTATATCCAAACATCGGGTAGTTGATCATCAATTTCACCAAGATAGCAACAAATTGGATGCAACTCCCACCGGGCTCACGCAACGCCAAACTGCCTGGGGCTGAGTCGCTGTCTTTTGAGGCCTCGGTATCAGTGGGACCCACCAGATACTGCTCTAGGTACCGAGAAAAAATCTAGCCAAGTAAAAAAAGGGAAAAAACATGGTACGATCGGACAATTCATTCGTATCACATGGTGAAAAACACCATGGGTTTTTGATACATGGTGAATTCCTCAAAAAAATATTAGTCAGATTGGATCATCATCCCAGCTATTGGGGAAAATAAAAAAAAAAACCAAACCACCAACCAGCATGGTATACCATGTTTTCAGCCCACTTTGTTGCCATCATCCGTTCCAAAACACGCCGCCTTGTTTGAGCCCCTGACATTTTGCCGACGACCCGCCGCGCCGGACCTGGAATGTCTCGCAAAAAGGACCAGTTTTTCGCCATGAACAAATAGCAGTTGGGATTTTGGGGTAGCCAATGGCAGCCATTTTTCACCAAATCTATGTAATTCATTGTAATTCGAGGTAATTTTGAGGTCATTCGACTTGATTTTGGTATTTTGGAATTGTGTCTAGTGAACAAGTGGTGAATTGATTGTTGGGTTTACCACGCGACTAGACATTACAGGACATGAAATACCATGCAGCAGGCAAGCATGTAAGCAAGTATACCAGCAAACCTTTCACTGCTGCTATCATCATCATCATCATCATCATCATCATCATCAATTCAATTTGTCATCCTTTCTCGCAGCAGAAAATAACCAACAGCAACAAGGATGAATTCTCCAGGCAAGCAAATGGAGAGCGTCAGAGATGCTTTCCAAACAAAAACATGGAGAAACATGTGGCAAAGAACATGAAGCTGAAATATTGCGAATTTCTTTAACAGGTAAAACATAGAAACTATTTTCAAGCATCTTGACAATAACTGTGATCATCACTTGGAGCATCCCAGGCTTAAATAAGACAACTACATTGCCAGACGACACAAAATGATAGCGTTTAAGAGTAGCCCGAGTTATCGTCACAATTATGTGGGTATTGATCAAGCCCTTGTACTCTGGTTAGAGCTTCTAAATGGATGTTCATCCACCCCACATATGGTATCTCATACGGTTTGACCGCTCATTTGTCTCCCATCTGTGCCCTCGCACGCTGGTGCTTGAGCCTGCGAATCGGGTGGAGTGGACTGCAAAACACGCAACAAGGACATGAAAGGGACTTTAGTCAACCTAAAATTAAAATGGTAGTGCTATCATGTGCTATCGTTGTTTTGAAAACATCATTTTTTTCCAATTTGCGTATTGAGACCCATGGTTTTGGAGATCGCCCAGTTTGTGAAATATCCGCACGCATGGGATTTGAATGAGCCAGAGTTCAACCGAACGGAGATATTGTGTGTTTCATTGTCATTCTAATCAACAAAACTTTGATATCTCATAGCGAAATTGGGGGATTTCAACCGACAACATTTCTTTGACCAAACAAGAGGATACAAAAGGAGGACCATGGCCTCGACTTTTGATTGCAGCAGGGAAAACCCTCCAGAGTCGACTTCCCTAAGCACTCCCCGGCCTGTTGAGAGGGCGGCCGATTTGCCGCTTGCTGCATCTGATGTTGATACAGCTGTTGTGCTCCATAGGGTTGCGCCGCGCCGGCGTACTGGGCATATTGGCCCTGCTGGTAGTAGGGATATTGGTACTGCGGGCTAAAGCCCTGCTGCATGGGCTGCATCTGTGGTATCTGCGGCGCAGTTTGGTATTGGTATTGCTGGTACATGGGGTCCATCGCACCCAGCATCGGCGCGATTCCTTGCACCGGTGCTGTCGCCGGGTTGACTGGGACTGGGTTGGGCTGGTACCACTCCTCCACTCGAGGCTGAGGATCAGCAGTCCTGGGCATCCAGCGTTCTCAAATGGACCATCATGAGTCTCAACTTTGGAAAGGTTTGGTGGGAACCACCGGTACCAACTGATCGCAGAATGTGGCTCATTACTAGATATCTAGGCAGAAAAACAGGTCGCACACCACCAACAAAAAGGTTTGGGATAGATGGCCATCCTTTATCTGCTACAGTAGATATGGAGCGTAAATAGGCACTCAGCAAAATGTCGGTATGTGTCTCTTGACATTGGGCATCCACATCATTCAGAGGAATCACCCGACAAGTCTGACGCACCAGTTTCCACTAGATATCGTCGCTTGTTTGTGAATTTTTGGGCATTGGTAAACTAACATAACTATGGAAAATCACTTGGAATAGGTAAATCAACTATTTCTATGGACCATTTTCAATAGCAAAATGTGAATGTTTACCAGAGGGTATTTTTGGATTCTTTGCCAGTGTTCTTGGCTTGTCGCCAGCGCTGGGCCATCCCAGGGATGGTCGTCATGAACCACCGATGCGATTCGGAGATTCCAAATTTGCTGGGCACTGCCACCAGAGTCATGGCCGATTTTGGTCACATTTTAGATCGTCTCCATCTTTTCCCCAACGTGAATACGTGTGGATACTTATCCCAGTCTGTTTGTGAATTCTATGATCATCGCACAGCACCATTACAGGATTCCTGCTACACATCAGCTTTTTTGGGGGTCTGGACACTCCGTAAGGTCCCACAGATGATGTCTCTCCCCGCAAAATGTGATTTTCGTAACCTGAAGAAAATGGCATATTGAACCATTTCACCATTTCATAGAGTCTTGTCGAAAATCCCTATGGTTTACCCTCTGGTAAACTAACATAACTGTGGAAAATCACAATTTTGAATGGGTAAAATAAACTATAGATAGCCATTTTCAATAGCAAACTGTTAAATTACCAGAGGGTAACATCAATGTTCCTTTTCAATGGCGATTTTTTTCGGGCGATGAAATTTTCCGACATCCTGAAAAAATTCTTATGGCCATCCCATGACAGCTCCCCGAATTTCAGCAGCCGTCTTTTGATGGTTCACCTGAAGGTTACCCTCTGGTAATTTAACATTTTGCGATTGAAAATGGCTATCTATAGTTGATTTACCCGGGTTTTTCCACAGTTATGTAAACGTTTACCAGGCCGGGTAGCTCCCAATGATTGGCAGACTCGGAAGCAGCCTCTATCAACCTTCAGGATGACTATGACCTCCCAATTTTGGGGTGTTGGATGCACCGTCAAGCTTCATGACTATGACCATGATACCATCATGCTGCTCTTTTCCAACCCCAACATATCCAACATGGTGCCATCTTGCCGCCAAAATTCACAGCTTCAGCTGGGATCTGTTCACCAAAGCCTCGATGACGGAAATTCACTGAAAACAACTGCTTTTGACAACCATGATGTGGACTTCAACCAGCCAAAAAACAGGGATTTAACAAATAAAAACGGGGATTTCCTATAACTGGGACTTTCCTAACCAGCCGAGCGACTTCACCCTGTATCATGGCAATTACGTCAGAGATTCAACAAAAGCTAGGCTTGTTCAACAGCTTGGAAGTGAGATCGGGAAAAGGGGATTATTTCATTTCGTTTTTTTTTTGAAATGCTCAGATGTGAAGCTTCAACGATTTGAACAATCTGGGTTTGTTTCAGAAGAGGGCACTTCTGAAATCCTGTTAGAATTATTGATGTATCATCATCTTGACTGTTATTTGATGGCCATAGATTGGGCATAAATCCCGCGCATTTTCAGACTGTCCATAGTGACACCCCCCATATTTTCGGCACTGGATTGCCGCTATCAGCTGGGCTTCTGGACTGGGAATGAAGGAGAAACCCACAGGTTGCTGTGGATAGAAGCCATAAGCCTCACGGCAGACTTGCAAACACAAGTAAACCTGGGATATGGGATTACAATAACATACAATAACCCATTGACCAAGGAAAAAACTATGGAAGCGCTTGGCAGTGCACATGGATCCAAATGGGTGATTTCTTCAAGACATACCCTCTGGTAAACTAACAGTTTGCTATTGAACATGGCCATAGAAATAGTGGATTTACCCATTAATAGCATGGTGATTTTCCATAGTTGTGTAAACGTTTACCAAAGGGTAAAAACATCCAATATGTGGAGTCAATCATTTTGCAATTTCCTCATGGATATGAGTCAAAATTCAAGTTTTTTTTAACCTGGGATAGATGAACATCACACTATCTACATCTCATCCGGGACCATGACTATGCTTCGGTCTACCAAACAGCTAGCCTGTTGACCTACCAATCACTAAGGTTCATCCGACCTGCAGGCCGGCGTTTTTCCCACTGCTGTTTGTTGATTTATAAACCCATGTAAACCCATTAACAATTCTATCCCCCATAAACCCAAAAAACCAAGTCATATGTCGACACCTGGCTAACTTTTTGGCAGCGTCATTTCGTCATTGGTGGCTAACGGCTAACTTTTTTGGCCCAGCTTTCCTGCGCCTGGTACAGCACACCTGCATCGAAGAGAAGTTGAAACTCCGCTTCTGACACCTGTTGAAAGTCCCCGAGGGATGGCGTCGAGAAATGTCGTGGGACAAAAATCGACGGTCAGTTGGTCAGTTGTTTGGTTATCCCGGTCGTGATCCCTGTTCCCCAAAATGAACTATATTGATGATAAGGTATCCAATTATCTAGTTTATATAATGTTTATATATCTGAATGCGGACACAATAAAAAGGTGGTTTAAGTATAGTTCAGTACTAGGTCTTCAGGACATAGTTAGCTAAGTTGGTTTACAACTATGTTATAACAATAGTGTATGATACTTATAATTACTTATAGTTATATTTAGATGGGGTTATAAACCAACTTATAACTGGAAGGGCACCATCCTGTATGTATTTTTGGACTTTTTACTGGGACCGTGCAAAAATTGGCCAGGGTCTTTGACGGTCCATTTCTTGCATATGGGGCATTAATATTTACTGTACTACGCTACACCATCTGGTGTCTACTAGGGTACCTAGCTGATGCACAATGCAATTATGTGGCAACAAAAATACCCACGGGAATCACTGACATTAGTTTCCTACTCTGGCTAATGGACATGGTCTCCGTCTCGCGGGATTTTGCATATCATGATTCCTATCTCTTCACAAGTAACTGACGGAATTGTATTCCGATCATGGCTTCAGAACCACTAACACTTCCGAACGAAAAATGCCTGATTGATAACAATTGTCATGATCAGTTCATGATCGGTTTAATGAATTTTGATTGATAACATGCTGAGTTCTTCAAAATTTATCAAAAATCCCAATGCCTCCCGTTGGGCCATCCCATTTGATCTTGGTCGAGCACGAGATTGCTATTAACATATATTAACTAGGTCACTTTCTGAAATAGGTGTTCATAGGTGCTCATTGAAATTTCAGAAAGTGATGATTGCTATTAACACATATGATTGCTCATATTAAGACCTATCGAGCATGATTCAACTTCTCAATCATCACTTTTTGAAATTTCGGGGTCCATCCACACTTTCCCTATGAATTTTCCATTCAGTTTCCCCTCGCACCTCGCAAACACCAATCCCCTGGTCGTCCACCAACGTGTCCTGCACAACAAAAAACGACTGGCGCAGTCCGACAAGCGACACGGAGAGATGTCATCGCTGAACAAAGCATGACGATTAGTCAATATTAGTGATATTACCCTCTGGTTATTTAACATAGCCATGGAAAATGGCCTATTTATAGATGGTTTACCTGGGCTTACCTATTAAAAATGGTGATTTTCCCTGGCTATGTTAAATAAGCAGAGGGTAATTCGTAAAATGACACAATAAACATTGTAGGAACTAGTTTGTGAATGACATTGATTCAATAAACAATTATCGACATTCTAACAGTTCAAATCGTATGTTCATTTGAATGTTGGTAAATACGTATATACACTGTATATACGTGTGAAACATATGTATTTATTGATAAATATATCAATTAGTGAATCAATGAATTAGTTAATATGAATCAGTTCATCAATTCATTCACAAACTAGTTCCTTAGATAATTAGTTAGCTCATCAATTGATTACTGATCTCTTACCCTCTGCTTATTCAACGTAGCTATGGACGATCTATACCATAGTTATGTTAAATAACCAGAGGGTAATTCCCATTGACATGCCAATCTGTGTTGGTCAATCCTCAATCACCACTAAATCCTCACCACTAAATCGCATACAAATCCCATACAATTCCAATAAACAACCCATTAAATCACCATTAAATCCCAATAAACTCGCCATCGGACCAGGTACCAACTGCTCCCAGCCTGTCCAGTCTCTGCAGCCTAGTCAGGATTTGCTGGGGATGAAATCCCCATCAAAAATGCTGACTTAATCAACAACCATGGGAATATCATTGAGATTCTCATGGGATCTATATGGTGATTATGGGATTTGAACATGGATTTCTGTGTAGAATAGGTGTTGAATTGATCTATCTTCAATTCTGATGAACGTTGATGGAGAAACGTGCGGTAATTGTGGAGACCGAAACGTTGCGGTGCCGAAACCACTGAACCACACAATGGATCAGTAACCTGACTTTGAACTCATGGATATGACGGATTTACCACAGAAAATACATATGATGACCTCTATGAATCCATTCCCATCCCAGCCGCATGACAGCCTCTTGGCCCTCTTGGCCCTCTGTGGGTCCCAAAGCTGCCTGGTTGGAACCAAATCATAAGATGGAATGGAGGTGTCGCATTTTTAGACACTCAATGGATTGGTTTAAGGAAAAATCTATAGGAACTAATTATTTTTTTTCTCCCATGAAATCAAACCTTTTCAAGCAATCCATAGAGACACACCAACCTGTTGATGGTTGATATATGTTGATATGGGTATGGATCGGAAATTTGCTACCACCCCTTGATGGTCTGTGATACCAACAAGAATACTTTTGGTCAATGACACATGGGACATATTCTTTTTCACACATACCGAATCGGTTCCATATGTCCGACCTTTTCGGTTGGAGTATCAAAAATTGGGTACCCTCTAAAGTTGGATGGTTAACACTCAAAAAAACCAACAGCTGCGGTTTTGTAGATCTTATCTGGTTGGTGGTATACCTACCCCTCTGAAAAAAATATGAGTGAAAATCAGTTGGGATCATGAAATTCCCAATATATGGTAAATCATAAAATTCATGTTCCAAACCACCAACCAGTAATGGTTATTAATGGTTATTAGATGTTATTAGTAATGGCTAGTGGTGTCTATAACTCCAATAACTATGGTTATCAATGGTTATTAATCATGGTTAATGGTTATTAAAGTTGGTTTTCATGGCTAGTTGATGGTTATTACAAGAATGATTAATGATATTCGTGTGGATAAAACAATGCCATTTTTACCACCCATGACTGGGAATGGTAACCATATATATATATATATTGTCCCATAGGCATTTGAAAAATCGTCAGTCACCATTGATTCTATCCCCAGGTCGTTACAACCCTGATCCATGCGCCAACCATTCGTCAGTTGCCAACAATTCTTGTTTATTTCCAACCATAAACAACAAACATATATACACATATAGTTGTTAAAGTTCAATAAATATATAATAAACTAAAACTATATAATCGAAGGAAGTTTAGAAGTCAACATGGACAGATGAAAAGCAGAGCAGGGAAGAGGCAGAGAGAAGAGACAGATTAGAAGAAAGAAGATGCAGATGCGTGAAAAGGTAGGAAAGTCGCGAAACACTGCGTTTTTCCAATGATTTGGGGCTTTTGGAAGTTGCGATGTCCAAAAGTGCACGCCGTTGTGGCGCGAAGCACATTTCCAAGTCAAAATGCGCAAAGCACACCATGTACGGACCATTTTGGAGGTTCAGATGTCGAAAAAGTGCACGCCGTTGGGGCGCGAAGCACATTTCGAAGTCAAAATTGTACAAAACACCAGGGTTTCGGACCACTTTTGGACGTTCAGATGTCGCTTCGCTTCACTACACTACATTACACTACACTACACTCCACTACACTACATTACACAACACTAGAACTACAACTACACAACTCACTCCACTAAACTCCACCACACTAAATTACATTACATTACGCTACATTACACTACACTCCACTACACTACATTACACTACACTACACTACCTTCCACTACACTTCACTACTCTACACTCCACTACACTACAACTACAACTACACAACTACACTCCACTACAATACACTCCACTACACTAAATTGCACTACACTAAATTACACTACACTACACTACACTACACTCCACTACACTACACTACATTACACTACCTTCCACTACACTTCACTACATTACACTACACTACACTACATTGCACTACGCTACACTACACTTCACTACATTACACTACACTACACTACATTCCACTACACTCCGGTACGCTACACTACAATACACTACATTACATTACACTGAATGACACTGCACCACAGATAGACAGGTAGACGGATAGACAGGTAGATAGATAGATAGATAGATAGATAGATAGATAGATAGACAGATAGATAGATAGACAGGGAGACAGCTAGACAGATAGACAGATGAAAGAGAGAGAGAGAGAGAGGGAGAGAGAGATAGATAGATAGATAGATAGATAGGTAATTAGATGAAAGAGAGAGAGACAGATAGATAGATAGATCGATAGATAGATAGATACAGAGAAGATAGGTTGGTAGGTAGGTAGATAGTCAGAGACAGAGAGAGAAAGAGAGGAGACCTCAAGCACCTTTCAGTCCATCAGTGGCTTCGCTCTGCCATCCCTGATTCACAACAACCAGCCTCTCCTATAGGTTTCCTATTTTTGAAACTTCCGCCACCGCCTTGTGCGGTACTACTGGTAAAGAATAAACAACTTTAATACATTACAATACAATACAGTACGACACGATACATACGATACAATACAATAATATACAACAACAACTACTACTACTGCTACTACTGCTACAACTCCTAATCCTACTGCTACTGTGCTGCTACTGTGCTGCTACTGTACTGCTGCTGTACTGCTACTGTGCTGCTGCTGTACTGCTGCTGTACTGCTGCTGTACTGCTACTTCTGCTTCTGCTAGTACTGCTAGTACTACTACCACCACCACCACCAGTAATAATAACAAAAAATCAATCCATCCAATCAACCCATCCATCCACCCATCAAGTCCCTGGTGTTCACTTAATTCGCCTCTGGATCCGTGGCCTCCCGTTCCGGCTCCTGCTCCGCCGAGCATGGGATCCCTGGAAAAGAAACGCTAACTGGTTGTTTAGTATTATTGCTAACCTGGTTGGTGGTATACCTACCCCTCTGAAAAATATGAGTGAAAGTCAGTTGGGATCATGAAATTCCCAATATATGGTAAGTCCTAAAATTCATGTCCCAAACCACCAACCAGTAATGGTTATTAATGGTTATTAGTAATGGTTAATGGTGCTTATAACTCCAATAACTATGGTTAACAATGGTTATTAATGGTTATTAATCATGGTTAATGGTTATTAAAGTTGGTTTTCATGGCTAGTTGATGGTTATTACAATAATGATTAATGATATTTATGTGGATAAAACAATGCCATTTTTACCACCCATGACTGGGAATGGTAAACATACCACCTATACAAATGGTGATTCGGGGGACGGCTTATTTTTGTTTACCCACATTAATAGCCATTAAGGAAGTATTCAATGACATCAATCAATCAAGTATTGTGATTGTAATGGGTTCTTACTGAGTAGCGAATGGATTAGATCATTCCCCCATTCCCTACTAGTTGCACCAGTAAGAAAAACCAGTTGGGAATGACAACTAGACCAAACATAGTTTAATCAAAAATTGGAACGAACAACATGGTGCTTCAATATTTAAAACAAAAGTGTGCTATTTTTTTCTTTTTTTGAACGCCTCAAATGCACGTTTGTCGATGACGGCGTTCCCCTTGAAAGATGGGTAGTATTATCCCCTACATATAATCATCAACCAAGCATCATTTATCAAGTATTATTCCCTATATCTATGTAAATTTCTAAATCTCTATCTATATCTCTATCTATATCTCTCTATCTATCTATCTCTCTATCTCTCTATCTATCAATCTATCAACATGTCAACCTACCTATCTATCTATCTATCTACCTATCTATCTATCTACCTATGTATCTATCTATCTATCTATCTATCTAATCTATCTTATCTATACATTACATCTACCTATACACATATAATATTTATAAATACATATGTATACATAGATATGTATGTCTGTCTGTCTGTCTGTCTCTGTCTGTCTCTGTGTGTGTATGTATGTATGTATGTGTATGTATGTGTATGTATGTGTATGTATGTGTATGTATGTGTATGTATATGTATGTGTATGTATGTGTATGTATGTGTATGTATGTGTATGTATGTGTATGTATGTGTATGTATGTGTATGTATGTGTATGTATGTGTATGTATGTGTATGTATGTGTATGTATGTGTATGTATGTGTATGTACGTGTATGTATGTGTATGTACGTGTATGTATGTGTATGTATGTGTATGTATGTGTATGTATGTGTATGTATGTGTATGTATGTGTATGTATGTGTATGTATGTGTATGTATGTGTATGTATGTGTATGTATGTGTATGTATGTGTATGTATGCGTATGTATGCGTATGTATGCGTATGTATGCGTATGTATGCGTATGTATGCGTATGTATGCGTATGTATGCGTATGTATGCGTATGTATGCGTATGTATGTGTATGTATGTGTATGTATGTGTATGTATGTGTATGTATGTGTATGTATGTGTATGTATGTGTATGTATGTGTATGTATGTGTATGTATGTGTAGGTATGTGTATGTATGTGTATGTATGTGTATGTATGTGTATGTATGTGTATGTATGTGTATGTATGTGTATGTATGTGTATGTATGTGTATGGATGTGTATGTATGTGTATGTATGTGTATGTATGTGTATGTATGTGTATGTATGTGTATGTATGTGTATGTATGTGTATGTATATGTATGTATATGTATGTATATGTATGTATATGTATGTATATGTATGCGTATGTATGTATATGTATGTACATGTATGTGTATGTATGTATGTATGTATGTGTGTATGTATGTATGCATGCATGCATGTATGTATGTATGTGTCTGTATGTGTCTGTATGTATGTATGTATGTGTGTATCTAAATGTTTGTATGTATGTTTGTATGCATACATGCATGCATTCATGCATGTATATGTATGTGTATGTATGTATGTATGCATGCATGCGTGCATGCATGTATGTGTCTGTATGTTTGCATGCATGCATGTATGTATGTATAATGGTCAAATGTTTTTTCCACCGCACACCTCCTCACGATCTGACCGCCGTGACGAGTGCGATGAAGGTCGCGAGGAGTTTTCAGCACCTCGAGCGGTCGCTCCGGGCCCGCGGGGCGCGCGGAACTGAAAGGATGGCAATGGAAAACAAAGCTCTATTGCCATAATCAATTGACATGCTAGATAATTTCTAGGGTATAATGTCATAATAGATAATTGATCAATAGATGATCAATTCTAGATAGCAATGTCTAGGACTCTAGAATCTTAATAGACATACTGTGGATGGAAGAAATCCTGCACCAGGTGATAGGTGGTTCATCCCGTTTTTTGAAGGGTTTCAACCATCTTTTTGGTGGTGCAGGATTTCTTCCAGCCACCGTATGACACCTAGGAAATATATTATAATAGGTAAAATACCGGGAACCCGGTATGGTATCGTCATCTGTTGTACAATGAATTACAATGGCTAGACATATGATATCTACATCTACAATTTTCAAAATGGGTATATTTGACTACCGATATGTATGCATAATCTAGATATGTTACTACATTGTACTATGTACCACATGTAAAATCATGTGTACGCGGCATATAATCATGTAATCATATCATAATTCAAAGCTAAACATCGATATGAGATACTACAGGGTCAGTCGTATCAATTTCACCGTGATTGTAGGTGATGACTTGAACTTATCCAAGGGATTCCAAATGTTTCGCCTCTGCACAATGTACATTTCCCATCTTCTCGTAGGGTGATTGATTGAGGCATTGAATATCAGCAGCCCCGAAAGAGTGGATGCTTTCACCCACCTCTGGTGAATAGTAGAGGATGTTCCGATTGGACATGGGGATTTGCTATTGCCAAATTGCCAGATGGTATATTGATAGGAAAACTGCTCCTAATTTGTTGTGGGTTTCATGTAGGTTTTCTAGAGAAGTATACGCCTGAAGCAAATCAACTGTGTATACATTGGGTTCCCTCACACGTGAATCCATGATGAGGATGCCGCAATTATGAGGGACACTAGGCTTAGATATAGTTTCAGTGACTTCATATACATTTGGATGTTTCCTAAAATGGTGGTGCCCTGAAATCATCCATTTTAGTTAGAGGTTCCATGATAAACCATCCATTTTGGGGTATCCCATTTATGGAAACCTCCATTTACTGATGTCCTGGTGGTTCTCCGCCCATCCTTGCTGCCCGTTCTCCGTCGCACAAAAGGCCTTCCGTGGGAGACTGGGGTTGCCTGGCGGCGACATGGCTGCCTGGAGTTACTACCAGGGGATACGTTGAGAACTACACCAGGTACAACTCCTCAAGTAACAAACATGCACCTGTAAGCAGGAGTAACATTAATGATGGGGCTAGCTCTGTATATTTCTGATTCTTGTCATCAGCTGTTCATTCAATGATGGAACCCCGAGGTTCTCAATGACATTGAACCACTGCCACTCCCAATCTGAAATTTGAAACAAGGATGAATTCTGTTGTTAGAGTAAACCCAAGTCCAAAGGAATTTCACGGTACCTTTCGCTTATCTCACAATTGATAATCACATGTGTGATCATTTCAATCGATGCACGGCTAAAATCAAAATTCTTGTGAATGGTCACTAGCTGAATAATCAAGACAGCCGGAGCAAAACAGGAAACCGAAGAAAACGGAAGCCTCCCGCACCTGAAAAGGTTCTCCCCAACTTCGGTGGTCAAACACTTGAACACCAAAGGTCAGGCGAACCATAGATATTCGTAGATATTCTGCAAACCCTGTGTCGCTGCCTGATACAGGTTGGTTGAGAAGGGGATTCCCCCTTCGATTGTGATACCCTCTGGTAAACTAACGTTTTGCTATGGACCATGCTATTCATGGGTAAATCCACTATTTCTATGGCCATTTTCAATAGCAAACTGTTAGTTTACCAGAGGGTAATCCCCAATTTATCTTGGTTGAACAAATCCTCGAACTAATCATCGACCCAGCTTGGGTACATCGTAGCTGAAATAAACCTTTCACCTGTTGAATGTCAAACCAACATATGTGCACAATTGGGCTGTAAAAACTACTATATATATATATGTATAAACGTGGGTATGTAATGATGCGTGTGTAATGTATGTACATATAAATATACACACTTAAACATGTATCTTCACACATATATGTATATATACAGTATATCTTCACACGTATATACGGATGTAAGGAATCAGAGCATCAACCTGCCATTTAAGGCACCAAAAAAGAAACCCATCCGTGGTCGCCTCTCTATGACCTTGGAGGAACGCCTTGGATCAAATCTGGGGATTCTGGAGGAATTCCATCTCTATATGGACATGTATAGCAGATCCCGACTACAAATGTATATACATGTATGTATGTATGTATGTATGGATGTATGTATGTATGTATATATATATATTACAGCTGTATGTATATAAAAATATAGAATATCTGTAACATAGACCCGGGCAAGCCGGCGGCGGAAGTTTCCCAAACATAAATGACCTATAGTTCAAAGACACCCTGTCCCGACCGTGTCCTTCCCTCGACACTCCACACCTCACACTGCACACTGCACACTGCACTCTTCGCACTCCAAACTTCAAACTTCACACTCCACACTTCTCACTTCTCACTGCTTCCTTCACACTCCAAACCTCACACTTCACACTTCACACTTCACACTGCACACTTCACACTTCACAGTCCGCACTTCACACTGCACACTTCACACTTCACAATCCACACTTCACACTTCACACTTCACAATCCACACTTCACACTTCACACTTCACAGTCCACACTTCACGCTTCGTACTTCACAGTCCACACTTCACACTTCACAGTCCCCACTTCTCACTTCGCATTTCACACTTCACACTCCACATTTCACACTTCTCACTTCTCACTGCTTCCTTCACACTCCAAACTTCACACTTCACACTTCACACTTCTCACTTCGCACTTCACACTCCTCACTTCTCACTGCTTCCTTCACACTCCTAACTTCACACTTCTCACTTCGCACTTCACACTCCACACTTCACACTCCACACTTCACACTTCTCACTTCTCACTGCTTCCTTCCCACTCCAAACTTCACACTCCAAAACTCACACTTCACACTTCTCACTTCGCACTTCGCACTCCCCACTTCACTCACACTTCACACTTCACAGTCCACACTTCACACTTCTCACTGCTTCCTTCAAACTCCAAACCTCACACTTCACACTTCACACTTCACGCTGCGCTCTTCGCACTCCACACTTCACAGTCCACACTTCACACTTCTCACTTCACACTCTTCCCCCAACTTCTCACTGCTTCCTTACACTCCAACACTTCACACTTTCACTTCGCACTTCACACTCCCACACTTCACACTCACACTTCACACTTCTCCCACTTCTCATGCTTCCTTCCACTTCCAAAAACTTCACACTCCAAACTTCACACTTCACACTTCTCACTTCGCACTCACACTCCACATTTCACACTTCACACTTCACAGTCCACACTTCACACTTCTCACTTCTCACTGCTTCCTTCACACTCCAAACTTCACACTTCACACTTCACACTTCACGCTGCGCTCTTCGCACTCCACACTTCACAGTCCACACTTCACACTTCTCACTTCACACTTCTCACTTCTCACTGCTTCCTTCACACTCCAAACTTCTCACTTCGCACTTCACACTCCACACTTCACACTCCACACTTCACACTTCTCACTTCTCACTGCTTCCTTCCCACTCCAAACTTCACACTCCAAAACTCACACTTCACACTTCTCACTTCGCACTTCGCACTCCACACTTCACTCACACTTCACCACTCACAGTCCACCACTTCACACTTCTCATGGCTTCCGGCACACTCCAAACCTCACACTTTCACACTTCACACTTCACCACTGCGCTATTCGCACTCCAAACTTTTTAAACTTCACACTCCACACTTCACACTTCTCACTTCCCCACTGCTTTTCATTCACACTGCACACTTCACACTGCACTCTTCACGCCCCACACTTCACACTGCTCTAAACCTACGTGCAACAAAAAAACACTAGCGCCAAAATGGAGAAAATCTGCTAACAAATCCATGTCGCAGCCTTCATGCAGCCACTCCAATACGATGTACGAGATCGAGCTGCAAAAGACAATAGTATGACAAATGCAGCCACAGCACGAAGCAACCTTGACGCAGCCATTACAATGCGATCTGCAGAGACTGAGTTGCAAAATACAATAGAACTACGCGCAACGGCGTCAGAAATTGTAGCTCCAAAACCGGATCTCGACGCCAGAGCGAAAAAAAGACGATTTTGAAGCACTTTTTAAAAGGATTTTTAGAAGGAAAATCACTAGCGCCAAAATGGAGAAAATCTGCTGACAAATCACTGTGGCAGCCTTCATGCAGCCACTCCAATATGATTTACGAAGTCGAGCTGCAAAAGACAATAGTATGACAAA